ATGCACTCAGAGATATCTATGAGAAAGATATCTTATTGGCGTAGAGCCAATGTACCAATCACTGCGCATAAGCAATACGTTTATAGCCAAGATATGGATGTGTGAAAGTGTTAGAAATAATAGTATATAGGTCAAAAGTGTGTACCTGGGGTATTTAGCCTTTTATTTATTGGATTTACCTTTATAGATTTGGGCTTTAGATCTCCCTTGATTGACATGATAACTGCCTTATTTGTTGGTATAACATCCCAAACTTTTAAGAATTGATTATGTATGGTTATTATGGATATAATTACATAAGTATAGAAAATTATGGAATTACATAGTTAAGTTATGTAATTTTACGATGAATAGGTTACGGGTGCTAGAATTCATCTGTTAATCATTTGATTGACATGAAATAAATTATGAAAATACAATTCATGCCAAGCAAATCAATTAGGACCCTAAAAATAATATTTGAAAATTTTAGGGGTCAAATTTTAATTATGTGAAAGTATAGGGACCATTTTGCAATTAAGCAAAAACTAGGTCAAAACTTTAATTAAATTATATGATAAAATTCTATAGAATTTTTTATGGGTTTTAAGTAGTCTTAAACCATGTTAATTATGTTTAGAATAATTATAAAAATTAATACAAGAATTAATAAAATCAACCAATAGGAAATAAGATAACATAAAGTGTTAAAAAGTCAAAATTTGTGTGCTAGAAGTTTCTAGGTGTTCCAATGTCGGTTTTGGCTTCATTAACGGACCAAAATCTTATGCTTCTTCTTGTTAAAATTGTGGAAGCATGAAAGAAGAAGGAGAGCTCAAGAACTTGGACTTTTAGGCACCAAAATGCATAGTTTCGTTGAGAGAAAATTTTCCTAGTCATCTTGTGAGTAAAACCCTAGTTTCTAATCTTTAAAAGAAGCTTTGTGTGCCTTGTTTTATCCTCCTTAAATGTTTGACCAGCATCTGCAATCATGGGGAATTGATGGTTTTGAAGCTTGTTTAAAGGATAATTGAAGATATAGTCTTCTTGAAGTAATTTAAGATATTAATCCTAACTTTTGATGGTTTTTTCCTTTAATTTTCGAATTAGTGTTTATGAAAAGGGGACTGACTTTGTATGATGTTAAATCATGCGTATATATTGTGTTTTGATGAGTGTGTAGTTGATTGGATTAAGTTTGAATCATTGGAAGTTGAATGAAATTCGTGGAACATGTAAACCTTAAATCTGTCCTATTTTTCAAAAATTCATATTTGGAGTTATAAACCTTGAAATTGAGTGTGGTTTATTTCAAATTAAAACTTCACGTGTCTAGTATAAAATACTAAAATTTTAGGGCAAACGAATAAGAAATGGATTTTTGGTGAATTAAATGGTGCGGACTGTTCAGGCTGGAAATTAAGTACTCTTTCAGCCATATTGAGTAAAAATGGTTTGGAAGCTTGTTGGCTTATGTTTTAAGGATGTTTGGTTTTAAATGAATGTATTAGGATGAAATGAAATATTTGATTCATTAGTTGAAAGCATAGAGTGGTTATTGGCACTTTATGTGATCATTGAGTTTAATAATGGAAAATAAAGTTAAGAGTTGTTTTGAGTAATATTTGATGAAGAATGGAATGCATGAAATGCATGGTAACCTTAATAGTACCATTCAGCCATTTTGTGATTGTATTATCTAGGTATGGTTTTTAATTTAATTAAGTGGTTGGTTGAATAAATCAAGTAAAATCAAGTGTAGGTTATGTATGGTGAAAATGTGAAAACCTAAGTTAACCTATGGGTTAAGTGATTTAGGTTAAATATGTTAATATGTAAGACTTTAAGTATATGTTTAAATTTGTGTACTGACTTGTGAATTGGTATGAATTGGTAAGTAAAAATATGTTAAGGATTATGTAAACTAACTTGAAGAAAAATTTCGAAATATGTATGTACGTAAGAGGATTCTTCAAATGTAAGTAATTATGTATTGACATAAAGATCATGTTTGAATAGGTAATCTTGATGGTTACGGATATACGGATAACGTTAGTGACGTACGAGCAAGGTTTACAGAAAAGCTAGTTTCATGTAAGCTTTTGATTTTGGAGTTTTCTCCGGTATATTGTTCCACCAAAGTCCGTTTGGATTATGGTTCATATGGTATTTGTTGTGATGAATGTAGATATGTAGTATAGTTGTATTCATGTAGCTCATGCATATGATATGATATGACAATTATGATATGATATGATATGTATGTATGTATGGAATATGGTTCTTGATCAATGAACATTTCGTTGAAGACTTACGTTCTTGGAGATTACGTATGGATTGGTCAAAGTGAGAAATTACGCTTTGTGAGTGTTATGTTATGTTATATGATGTTATGATATGATAGGAAATAATATGAAGTAATATGATATGTTGCTATGTGATAGGTTATAAAGAAATATGTTATGGTACAGATAGTTTTGGAGAGTACATGTGTGGATTCCTTTGTGTGATATATCCTCTGGGAGTATACGTTTATGTTAAGATCTCTTTTGCGGGATACAACCCCCAGGAGTAGAAGTATAGATATATGTTATGATCTTCTCTACGGGATACATGCCCTAGGAGTATGGGCATAGGTATAGGTACATGTTAAGATCTTTTTGCGGGATATAGCCCCTGAAGTATAAATCCAAAAGTCTTATGTATGTGTATGATTATGTGATGTCTTCTATGCTATATTATCGGACATTTATGCAGGAAGTGAACTCATGGGTGGAGACTACTCCATAAACCCTGGGTTTACTGAGATGGTTAATCTCACCCCATTTGGGGACTTACTTTTCAGGTACTACAGATGCAAGAGAGCCCTCACAGGGCAAGAGACCAGTTCAAGATGGCTAGAGATACTAGCTGGAGCAGTTAGCTAGTGTAGCGTTCTAGAGCATCGCTATATACGTATATGTTTTGTTGAGCATGATATGTTATGTTCATGCATATGTACAGTATGGATTTCCATTTTGAGAGGAATATGTAGCCTATAGATAATTGTATACAGATGACAAGATTATGTATAAGTGTGTATGTTGTTAAGTAGGTTGATATCAGTAGTGGCATAGAGCCATATTCTGGTATGTATGTATATATATGGATTGGACTTTTCTGTTTATCAGGTGTTATGTAGGAAGTGAGTTTTGATCCCTGGATTAGTCCGATTTACAGTCGTTATGCTGTCAGTAAAGACTCTGTTCGAAATGGTATCTGTTATCATATTCAGATAGTGATTTGATCATTAATTATGGTCACAGATTTATTAAGTATGGATTCTATGCAGTTATGGGACTGTATAGATTATTTTATATTGAAAAAATAAATTAGGCACGGCGAAACGTAAAGAAAATTAAAAGAAAAAAGTTAAGTCACTTTGTTACTCGGTGTAACGGTGATACTTTTACATTAAGTCTTCCGCTAAAATAATTAATTATGACAAGTTTTGTAATCATATGTATGTTAACAAACAGGCTGCAGACGAGGTGTTACAGTTGGGGATAAGGATCTTATTCTCTGATCCTCCTTTGATTATGTTGTTGCGATACGGTTGAGATAGATTATAATCTCCTATTGGATATGTGATTGAGATATGAATCCAGTCCATAACACTCACCTTGCTTCACTAAAGGAAGAAGCAAAATTCTATGCTTGATTGAAGGTAGAGGCACAAAAGAGAGAGATTGAAAAAGGAGAAAGAGGTGGCTATGGGAGGAGGAGAGGAAGAAAAAAAAAAGATGAATCTTTTCTATCTTTTTCACTTTTTAATATATGTATCCTTTTTTCTTTTAAAACACTAATTCTATGAATGACAACCTTACCCTCACCTCTCTCCTCATCCATTAGTGACTTGAAACCCACTTTTGTAATTTAATAATAGTCATAATCCAAGTGGGATATAATGTTTATCCACTTAACTTTTGGACCTTATCCTATAGAAATTTTAGTACTTATCAACATTTTAAATATTGACCTAACTAATCTTCTAATTAGCTTATTAACTAAAATGGGTTATTAAAGATCCCACGAAAACTTTAATAGAATAAATAACTAGGAGTTATGTGCTGACTAGACCGATTTCTTATCAACCTAATTGTGACCTGAATAGAGAAGATAAAGGCAAGAAAAATGAAATTGATGAACAGTAACGTTTTGGTGATGTTTTGGACCGGCAACACTGGCTCATTCATATGAACCAGCCACTAAGGCTCAACTAGGGGATCATTTCCTTGTTTCCCTAAAGAAGACTTTTGAACTCTAAATAGTAAAGGATCTCTTATTCTTGCTACTCCGTCAAATTTTAGAGGCCTTACACCATCCCCTTTTACTTTTACTTTTACATTAAAATACTTCACCCGATTAAAGGAAACAGGCCTAATCACATCGCCTAACCATTCAGGTGACAAGACAAGGTGCCAACAAAGAGAAAAAATGTTCAAACTCATTGGGAACAGTGACCAAAACGTTACTGTTCATCAACTTTTTTACCTAAATGTCACACGAACAGTCTTATTTTCCAATTTGCCACGGGGGCGAGTTCGCTATCCGATGTAGCGAACTCGGTTTGCTTACGTGTCACGTTTTTAGTGGACACCAAATTCGCTACCCTATGTAGCGACCTTCAAACTTTTTTTTTTTTAATTTCGTACTTGTTATCCACTAGAAATGTGACACGTCAGCAAATCGAGTTCGCTACACCGGGTAGCGAACTTACCCCCGTGGCAGATTGGAAAATAAGACTGTTCGCGTGGCATTTAGGTAAAAAAGTTGGTGAACAGTGGCAATTTGGTCACTATTTCAAACTCATTGCTGACTTTTGTTTCTATATTGACTTAAGAATAAGGTGAATGAGTAAATGGGTGAGATGACTCGATAAGTGTAAAAAAAGTGCTTCCATTCTAAAGTCTCCGGGTATATAAAGCAGTCACATGCAGTGGTACTATTTGAAAGCTAATGATGTTTGGCCTAAACAAAGAAGATATTGAGTGTTGAGGCAGAAGGTAGGGGTGAATTTGAAGCTATGGGGAGGCCTCCTTGCTGTGACAAAGTAGGCATCAAAAAGGGTCCATGGACACCTCAGGAGGATATCATCCTTGTCTCTCACATCCAAGAACATGGTCCAGGAAATTGGAGATCAGTGCCAACTAATACTGGTAAATTCAGCTTCTTTTTTGGAACCAAAATCTTCAACATCCTTTGTATTATTGTTTAATAAGGTATCAAATTAATGCCCCCAGATTAACATAATCTCTTCTATTTAGAAAAGTGATGTAATTATGATATTGGCTTGTTCTTTATCTCTCTGTCTCTGTATATATATTTGTATATATACTATTTTCTTTGAAATTAATTATACAATTTTGAATCAAATTGAAAGATCAAACATCAATTTTTTTTTTTTTTGGATAAAAAAGGGTTGTCTAGGTGTAGCAAAAGCTGCAGACTTAGATGGACAAATTACCTGAGGCCAGGAATCAAGAGAGGAAACTTCTCTACTCATGAGGAAGGCATGATAATTCATTTGCAAGCTCTACTGGGTAACAAGTAATTGTCAAATATCATAATTATCTTTGCTCAACAGAAAAGGAAAAAGAAAAATGAAGAAACCAATCTTGCCTTATTGAATCAACATGAAAGTAACTAAATTGTTTGCAGCCACATACATAGAGCTCAAGTCCTTTTCAATTTACATATAATAAATTAAACTTTGTCATTTATTAATTTTATTATATTAAATGACATGTCTGAATTGGTGAGGTTAATTATTGGTTAGTATTGAGCAGATGGGCAGCAATTGCTTCCTACCTTCCACAAAGAACAGATAATGATATAAAGAATTATTGGAACTCACATTTAAAGAAGAAATTGAAGAAATTTCAAGCAGCCTTGGACCCCCACCAAGTATCAGACTCAACAACCAATGATTATGCATCTAAGATTTTTAATGAAAGAAGAAATTTAGATATCAGAAGCAACCATGCCTCATCCCTTAGGCTTGATGAGTCTCATTGTCAATCCTCTACCTATGCCTCAAGTGCTAAGAACATCTCAAGACTCTTACAAGGTTGGATGAGATCTTCTCCAAAGCCAAACACCCTATCCAAAGGAACACAAGACAAAGAGCAACAAAGCAATGATAACTTTGAAAACAATAGTTTAGTGAAGTCTGCATCAGTGCCTGCTTTTAACAAAGAGTGCTGCTCCTACAAAACCAAAGATGAGCAAGAGGGTGGGGATATAGTGCCCCATGAAGAGTTTGATTCTATTTTATTGTTTGAGAAACTAAACTATGCTGCTTGGGACAATTCCACTTGTGATACTAAGCAAGAAAAATGTTCAGAAGCTTCTCCTGATAAAGTGCATGCTATACCAGAGGGGAATAGGCAAAGATCTGAGAACAGTGCTCCTCCATTGTCTTTTCTTGAGAAGTGGCTTTTGGATGAAAATGTTGGTCAGGTAGAGGACATGATGGAATTATCTCCAATGTTCTAATGGAGCAATCATCAATCCCTATGTTTGGGATATGACAATTCAAAATATGATCAGTTAGAGGAAAATAAAACAAAGAAAAATCTTTGATGTGAGGGTTTATCCTGAAAATTTGTTGAGGTTCTGAGAAGTTGGCATCTTTTCAATATGCAACTTGATATTTATGAATGATTTAATTATCTAAAGTGAGCTTAGTGTGTTTTGCTCTCTATGCCTTGTAGAAAATCGCAAATGATCACTTGGCTCATACAATAAACAATCTTCTAAAATATTTACAAGAAGGCAGACTTTGGAACTTCTATTCTTACTCTTATATTGTTTATCTTTTTCCCCTTCATCGAAATGCATTGAATTGATAAATAAAAGGGGGAAATAGAATATATTCAGTCAAGGATATTATGTGCATTTGAAAACTTTTATTCTATGTATCTTAGTCCTAATTAGCATGTATCTGCACAATTGGTTAATAATTGATTTGAACTGGAAAATATGACGTGACCGAAGTGCCCCAGTATGCAAGGTATTGACTCATAATGTCTTTAATGCTGTCCCCACTTAACTTTATTGGCTAACTTTGCGTTATTAGGTTGAATCATTAATCGAATGTTACTTATAAGTCAAATATTTGGAAATCAGCCATGTCTATTTGTCATCATCAATGTTATTTTTACTTACCAATTAAAAAAAATCACTCCGCAATTAAATCTGATTAGCGAGTGTAAGGTGAAGATGATCTTTGTATGAAGTTTTATCCTTGCAGATAATTACAAAGAGGGAAATATATATGGGTAACATTGACAAATAAATAAATAAAGATGGACAAAGCTGACGGACGCTATTTGTTATTGAGGCTCAAGCTACTTCTTACCCATAGGAACCATAAAAACACCAAATATTTGTCTTGTGTAAGTTACAACATGAGATGCATTATACTAAGGGTTTTATAAGAGTTATGTTGTAGGAAAAGTGATTGTGTAATGTTATAGAGATTCGTTTTGCGTGCCGTAATTTTTTCCTTTTCTTTTTTCTTTAAAAAGTGTGGGCCCCACAAAATATTGTGTGTGTAGGAAAGTTTGTTGTGTCATGTAAAATGACAAATGCAAATCCCTTATACTAATTAAGCAAAGAATGAGTTCTACTAAACAAGAAAAAATAGCCATATATGAGTGAAACACGATGCTATCACGATAGTCTTGCGAGCAAAATACGGTAAATGGGTGTCTCAAAGTCCTTTCCTTTAAAAAAAATATTGTATGGTGTACCGTTGGAATCTATAAGTCCACTATATTCCCTTTGGAGGGGGTTGTCACTATATGGATGGTACCACTAGCTTAGGTAAAGACCACGCTAAATGGTATGATTCCAAGTATAACAAGTTAATAACAATGGAGGAATGATGGTTAAATATGTGACTTAATAGAAATGGGCATAATAACGATACATAAGATAGATCTTAAGTTGTGCCCATGAGGGTTATTTATAAGGAAGATGGTGTGGGTTGGTGAGGAGGAGGTCAACCCTCCTTGGGATATACTCCTATGATGGCAGTGTTGGGCGTGGTTGGCGCTGTCATTGTGGCAGCGTTGCGTCTTCTGCATCTGGCGCTCTCAGCACTGGGCAAAGGAGCAGTTTCCCTTTGTGGTGCCTGTTGCAGTTGCCTTTGGTGGTTAACGTCCCAAACTGGGACATTTCGGTGTATCCCTTGGACGTGCTACAGGGTTGGAGGATGTGCGGGTCCACGTCAGCCCTTAGAGCTGACGCGGGTTGGGACTAAGGATTGGGTCTGAACAGCCGGGCCACTTCAGCGTTTGGGCCATCCGGAACATATGGGATGCATGTGATCTTCTTTCACCTGTCGGTGGGAGAAGCTGGCCACCGTTGATAAACTCATGGCTGCCATATATGCATATAAATTTCACATGTTGAAACAAATGGGTCCCAAGGCAAATGCAAGAACAATCATATTATGTCATGTTGCAGAGTGACCCGAAAAAGGGCACATATAACATATTGACGCAAGTCACGCAATACGCTCCCCAACTTATACGTTTTATATACCTTCAAAATAAATTTATATTTTGCTAATACAGGAACTTCACACTCCAATATATCCTGTTTTTAATCCCCGAAAAGTGAAGGTTTGCTGTTGAATTCGAGAGCTAAGGTTGTTTATCGAATAGACTATCGCATGTGGTGGTACATCACTATACTATCGTTAGCTGATAGCCAAAATATGTGCACAGACAATAAGAAAATAAGAATCAGGTTAACAAAATCGGATTGACTGGATGCAGGAATCGATAAATCGGTCATATAATGATCTTGTTGAAGTGTCATGCATCAAAATTGGTGTGACCCGATCTGATCCGACTGGTTTTTATGAAAATCGATAACCCGGTAACCGGTTACCAATTCCGGTCCCAAAAAAAAATCATAATGAACATATTTAAATATTTTTTTTTTATTGACTTGCATAAGTTATGTACCTACAACGCTAATATTATCTCAATTATGTACTATGCAGAAAATTTTGATTTATAGTTAGAAATGTGTTTTCTGAACTTAAAACTCCTTATCACAATCATTATATTTTTGCTTCATCCTTCATTGGATAATAACATGTGATTTATTATTTTTATATTAAAATATTTAAATTTTTATCATTTTTTTTAGATATTTTAGTATGTTTATAATTTTTTAATATAAATTGTAAAATTGTATATAATTACCGGATCATGCAGTTACACCAGTGATCCACTAATTGAATCAGTGACCCAATGACCCAGTACCTCGACGGGATCAATGACCGAGCCGATTTTAATAACATTGATAAGAAGGCTAGAGATTCCGATTATTTATGTAAGATGAAATTTCCTTTATAGAGGATTTCATACCTGAAAAATGGGCTTGGACTGATTCGCATAGCCAACTTTAAGACCCGTTATATCGTTCCATAACATCCTAAATAACCAAATCATGTTTCAGCGAATGAAATTTACTTGAATGACAGAATTCATATTCATAATTCTTTCACAAGAATTCTATCACTCCATATATACTACCATCTCATTAAGGAGTTATACATTACGAGAAATAAAAAAAAAAAAAAAAATTCAGGGTCTCGGGAAACAGTCGAGGACAAAGTAAAGCATGTGAGCTTACTCAGAAGTAAAAGGTCAAACTTGGTCTACCAAAAAAAAAAGGTGAAACTTGGAGTAGCAATAATGCAAAATAATTGAGATGCGAGGGGCTGTATATGGTAGAGGGATCTTGATTTCCAAAACAAAAACAAAAAAATTACACAGGGCTCTTGTGTCATTTATTTTGTTGTGATGAACATAGGTGCCATAGGCCAGACGTTTCGTTGTTGCCTTCTTTCGCAGGTAATCAAATGTGGGGTTCTCAAATTTGTAGCTCTAATTTTTGAATATTTTATTCATTTTAAAATAGGATTTCGATCTGTTTAATTTGCTTAAAAATAAAATATTGGGCTGGACAAAATTCTTTATCCAACGTTTATGTTAAAAATAATTTTGGGACAAGACAAAATTAAGGGTGAAGTATTGAATGTAAGACCTTGAAGAAAAAATTTTCAAAAAATAAAATAAATAAATATTAAAATAATATATTAAAAAAAAAAAAAGAAATTAAACTTGGTTAGGAGGGGGCAATATGGATACACCCTCTCCAAGTTAAAGAAATATTATCATATTATTTTAAAAAAATAGCTAGCCTAGACTTTTTACATATAAAGGTATGGGGTTTGCATCTGTCATTTAACATGACACATTAAACTTTTCTACACACACAACATTTTGTGGGGCTCACACTTTTTGAAGAAAAAAGAAAAAAAAACGCAAAACGAATCTCTATAACATTACACAATCACTTTTTCTACAACATAACTCTTATAAAACCCTAAAGGTATTAGTATATATTTTATATTTCAGTTTCTTAATTTTTGTTGTAACCAATTACTGTTACTAGTGTGTATTAGTGGTGATGGCACATGTGCTACTTTTACGCACCATTCTATTATGACTATGGTATATATAACCACTTGTACTTTTCTTTCTTTTTCAAGCTTAATGGAATATTCAGTTTTCATTCCTCATCTGTTTCCTTCTCTGAGTGATAACAAACTAATATGGTATCAGTGATCTCTTGTTAACCCTTGCCTTCTTTCATGGCTCGTGGTAACAACACCAATCGCCCTCCACCAGACCATACCTTTTTTGGTTCTTCATCTTCTATGGATGAATTATCCAGTCCTTATTACCTACAAATGGAGACCATCCTGGCTTAATTTTGATTTCTCATTCTCTGACCGGTTCTAACTTTAGCTCTTTGCACCGTGCCCTGCTTCTTGCTTTAACAACAAAGAATAAGCTGGTTTTTGTTGATGGCACAATTGTTCGTCCTCCCCCCACTAATTTGCTCTTCTCTTCTTGGAATCGATGCAATTCCATGGTTATCTCATGGATATTAAACTCGGTTGCTAAGGACATTGTTGATAGCTTTCTTTATTTTTCTACTGGCTATGAAGTATGGAATGATTTGAAGACTCGGTATTCCCAAGCGAATGGTCCTCGAATCTTCCAGCTTATACAACGCATTTCATCCTTGTGTCAAGGATCTCTTGATGTTAATGGTTACTATACCAAGTTGAAATCCCTTTGGGATGAATTACAGGATTATATTCCTTTACTTTCTTGCACTTGTGGTGCGCTTCGCGAGATTGGTGCTAGTAAGGAGCAAGATCATGTTCTTTAATTTCTCATTGGGCTCAATGAATCCTTTTCATCTGCCCGTGCTCAGATTCTGTTGCTTGAACCATTATCGTCGCTTGCCAAGCTCTTCTCCATGGTTCTACGAGAAGAGCGTCAACGTCAACTCTCCGTCGCCTTGCCAACTCTGGCTATCCCAGATACTCCTCTCCTTAATTCTGTGGCCTCACCCTCTCCGTCTATATCCACGGCGGCTGCTGTCCAACGCCGTTCGAGACCTATTTGCACCTTCTGCAATATCTCTGGTTATACGAGAGAAAAATGCTTCAAACTCTAGGGGTACCCACCTGGGTACAAACCAGGGCTCCTAAGCCCAATTTCACTTCAAATATGAATACAGCCCAAGCCCATTTTACTCAGTCTGTCCCTCACAGCCACAAATTTTCCCCTACCTCACAACCACATATTTCAACCCCTAATC